TCGACATTACTTTGCTCTTGATACTCCTCATACTCGCTAATATATTCTGCGGGCAGTATCGATATTACTCCAATTTGATGTCCTTCCCAACTACCTTCATTTTCGTCATCGACAAAGTCTCTTACATATTGACTCCCCATTGACATATTACTTTCTTCAAAGTTCCTATAATTGTTGATCCTTCCCCAGTAAGGGATCCTTCCTCCTCTCCTCCAAGGCCTTCCTCTAAATCTCCTTTGGAATGTAGGGAATCCAGTATTTGATCCTTCATCATATGAAAGTCTGTCGAAAACATCATTATTTTTGAAGTTTGCCCCTTCCTTCTCGAGGAGAACACATTTCCTTCCTAACCCATTGTTTCTGATTTCTACTAGCGCCCGAACCAACAGATTTTTGCTGACTCTCTCCTACCGTGGCTTGGACGGTTTTATCTACTTTATCATTACAACTTTTATGTTGATCCTCTCTTTTCTTTATATGTCCTGTTCTGAAGGCTTTAGTAGTTGATCTATCGAACACCGCACTGCATCGTGGACATAGTCTCACACCTTCATCCTTCTCTTTCTTCCTGTTTAGAAACTTGACGAGGGAATCTTCCGATCGAGGATAAATTTCTCTCTCGAATTCTTTCTCGAACTCGCTTAGGTCGAATTCTATGTCTTCTTCTGACATGTCCATTCTGACATGTCTGGGATCAATGTCTTCAGTAACATCGACCATACCTATAAAGGTCGAATTTATCAATCGGACATCTTCAGTCATGCCCATCTGGGATTCGACATACCCTACTTGAACTTCAAATGGACTCGTATCCACTTTCATTGACATCTCCTCAAACTTCAATCTTCCTTGGTTGATCGCATCTTGGATCGTGTTCCTGAAATGTATACAATTATTAGTCCAGTGTCCATAGATATTATGAAATTTGCAATATTTTCAACCATTTCTTTGTTCTGCAGAAGGTAATTTATGATCATCACTCAACTTAATCTGTTTATCTTTTAATAAAATATCGAAGATTTTATCTGTCTTTGTTACATCAAAAGTATATGTGCGATTTGCCATTTTGTCTTTCACTTCATTTTTTTGTAGCAGTTTACAAATATATGGAGCTCCTACTTTGAGCTCAGCTATATTTACTTTCTCATCGACAGATTCTTTAATATCTCCTTCTATTCTAGGATTTTCCTCATATATGTCATTTATATACGCTACCCTATCTTTCTTCATAGGTTTCTCAAATTTCTTGTACCTTTGTTTCTCGTATTCGATTTGTTCCACTCTTCTCACTTTATCAGCTAGCTGAGCCATGTCATTCAATGGTAAATTAACTAACTTTTTCCTAATCGAGAATTCTAAGACTGCAGAGGCCATTCTGACTAACTCGAACTCGGGAATTTGAGTAAAACATCTCGACTTCATTTGTCTAAATCTATTCAAATAATCATTTTCGCTTTCATGATTATATCTCTTTATATTCATTAAATCGATAAGACTTACTTGAGTCTCCCCCCTAAAGAATTGCTCAAGAAAATTTATTTCCAGTTGCAACCAATTATATATTAAATTAGGTGGCAATGACGTAAACCAAGTGAAACCATTCTTTGTTAATGAACTAGGAAAGTATTTCATTTTTAATTCCTCACTCATCGCTAGATCCCCACATTCGATTTGATATCGTGCCACATGCTCAATAGTGGATTCACCAAATTCTCCAGCAAATTTGGTGAATTTGGGTATTTTGTATCCTCGAGGTAATTCTGTCTCGAGAATCGTATTTGGAAAAGGAGAAACAAAGTACGGTTGATTAGGTGGTCTTAATTCCACTCCTTGAGGATTCATCCTTTGTTCCAACATGTGATTGTACTACATGTTATTTTGATTATACATATTTTGAAATCCCTCATTTAAATTTCCACAAGTATCATTCCTCACATGTTGATATTCATTCCCCACATGCTGATGTTGATCATTGTTTTGATTTCTCCTTAATAAATAAAGGGGATTGATATTAGTGTTTTGGTTAATATTCTGATTGGCAGTATTTTCGACCCTTGTTTGTCGAGATATTGCCAATGCATCCCCGATACGTGTCATTTGGTCTGCTAATATCTCAAAACTAGTGGTAGTGTTTTGAACCAATGGGTTTAGTACTGTAGTCAACTGTTGTGACAACATGTTAACCATCTCGAAATTGCTTTCATCCATTTGTTGTCGAAGTACTCCTAATGAATTACTGGAAATTCCAATACTAGCACTAGCGTTGTCGATAGTCTCAAAATTGGATCGATGATAATCTCTATCGAATGTATATCTCCCGTGATCCAGGTTTGCTCTGTGATCTAGGTTTGATATCAGAGGTGTCTGTTGTGTTCCTAAATTCTGCGCACTCCCTGAATTCTGGGGTGTTACTAAATTTTGAGACACCCCTAAATTTGGGGATACTCCCAAATTTTAAGGCATGCCTAAGGTTTGAAACGTTCCTAAGTTTTGGGGCATTCCTAGGTTCAATCTCGTACTTCGTTGTATTGAAGAAGTACCAGCCCCATTCATCGAAAAACCAGGCGGCCTTACACTCATATGCGGACCTGCATATGTTGTTACGGGGTTCCCCGTAGTTTGTATATTGTTTGACATTACAGTACTAGACCCTAACTGAGTGTTTACTAATGTGCCTGAGCCTTGTTCAGTACTCACAGGTATCGACGTACTCACAGTTGCCGATATTACGGGCATATTCCCATTGTGAACTTGCCCCCCAGTGTTCAGTGAATGTGAACTATTTAGAATCTCATTGTTACTCTGATTATGTGGTGGATTTTGACTCATTCTTATTACTCGTCCACTCCTTAATCTCATACACTCTCGAACTAACCAATTGTTTGTGTTTTTTGACACAACTTTTTCCCCTACCTGGCGTGCCAATTTGTTTCTGGTGAAAATTCGATCGATTTTGATTTCTCAAAGACTTAGGTTCTAACCAAATTTCAACCACGTAGATTCTTTTTATTTAGGCTAGCAAACGGTTTTCAATCGAAAAATGCATGAGAATCGAAAATCCCATGGTTTCGAGAAATGCAAACAACACCACTTAGTGTGCAAATCAAAAGTACTATTTTTGGTATTTTTTATTAAGAAACGCGAAGTAAAGAAAGCAGTAAAAATGTTGAATCGAAAAGCAGCGCAGAATATTAAATAGTAGAGAAATATAAAATGCGGAAACCTCAAATTTGCATTAAGTGTAAATGACAAGGAATCGAAATTGCGGAAGTGTAAATAGTAGGAAATCGAAATTGCGAAAATGTAAATGGCGAGGAACTTAAATGCATAACCTTAACTTGCATAAAAGTAAATGACAAGGAATTGAAATGATAGAAACTTAAAGTTGATAAACGTAAATTGCATGAAAGTAAATTACCAGGGAAAGTAAAGAAAGCGATAAAGATAGTCAATGAAAATGGAAATCCAGAGCATTAGAGACTTCATGATGCGTCGTTCTCCTGTAGACTGTTCACTTGCACCTATGTTGTCTCTGCCACTTTTCCCTTCTTCCTCAAGCTTCGTTCTATTTATAGGCATCCTTCAATATAACCTCCTAAGAGCAGTTTGGAAAACTGTCACCACGTTCCATGTGCACAATCCTCGATTGTGACCTCAGTTTACGGTTTAGAAAATAGCTTCCACGTTCCTCGTGCATTATAATCGTTTCTCGATTTCTAACCTTAGTCGCGATGTGAAAAGTCACTCCTCATGTTCCATATGTATGATAACTGTTTCCCTCGATCTCGATTCCAGTTACCGAGTTCGATTTTCCTTAACCTTGATTTTACCCTATATTTTATCATTATTTTCATCGATTTGTTTCTCTTTTCTGATTCTCGATTTTTCCTCTTTTGTTTTTTGATTCTTGTATCGATTTTTTATAAGTAGGTTTTTAAACAAGTGCTATAAAAATAATAATGTTAAATAAATAAATTGATGGAGCGGAAGACAGTGGGTAGCTAGAGGTACTACTAGGAGGAGTAACGTGGAGTTGTATAAATGAATATTTAGTGTACATATCTTCGGTGGTGAAGAAAGATGATGAAAATTGCAGTGACAAGAAATCCACCAAAATGAAAGGGGGGCAGCGTACAGAGTGCAATTTAAGTTCATTGCCCAACTGTAAATCAAATGAATATGCTATTCATTGCAGCTCTGCACCTCCACCCAATCCCTCAACTACCACCTGTCGTCCACCAAGATCAAAATTACGTAAGTAGAAAATTTTCCCACTCTTCCCATTATCTGGCCAAACCTCATAAATTACACCTTCTACTACATTTCCTTACCACGCTAAATTTATGTAACATTTATTGAAGTATGGTTTTTATTTTCAACTTATTATCGTTACTGTTAATTTCGTTTTATTCATTTTTAAAATAAAGTAACCATATTCTTCTATCTCTATCTACGTGATTAAATGATTTAATAAAACAATATAAATTACTATTTATATTACATTCCACGACATAAAGAAAGGAAAATTGCTGCAATGTTTACAACCAGAACGCGTGTGGTTAGTTCGATACCTTAATTGTGTCATGTTCCATGTAGGAGGAAGAAGAAGAAGAAGTTAGTATAAAAATTAAATTCACTGAACCTTAGGATTCGTCGCATGTGATTTAATGTTGTGTAGAGATGAAATTTCTAGAGTCAGGATTGGGCTGAATTTGAGAGAAGGATAAGAATATGGAAAAGGAAGAAGGATGGCCCCTCGTGAAAATCACAGCTCCTCGTTGAATACCTGTCATGATCCCGAACAACCCGTACTCGCAGTAATTATTACGCTCTGCTCAAATTATTCAATACAATTAACCATGGTAGACCAAGCTCATTCACTCCACTTCACACATCATCTCCCATGTCATCTTCTCATCTTATATAACCACTCCAAATGCACCACTCTCCCCCTCACTCCCGCAACAGACTATTCAGTCCTTCGTTGTTTGCTTCCAACAATGCAGGTAACAGACGTGCTTCTGTTGGGCTTCGGTCTGCTCTTCCTCCGCTGGTGGTGGCGCCACTGGTCTACCACGGGGGGCGGACAGAAGAACCTCCCGCCTGGTCCGCCCGGGTGGCCCATTGTTGGGAACCTCTTCCAAGTGATCCTACAGCGTCGTCACTTCATCTACGTGGTCCGCGACTTACGCAAAAAGTACGGCCCCATCTTCACCGTGCAGATGGGCCAGCGCAGGTTGATCATCGTCTCCAGCGCGGACCTCATCCACGAGGCGCTGATCCAGCGCGGCCCATTGTTCGCGAGTCGGCCCAAAGACTCTCCCATCCGCCTCATCTTCAGCATGGGAAAGTGCGCCATCAACTCCGCCGAGTACGGGCCTGTCTGGCGCACCCTCAGGAAGAACTTCGTCACCGAGATGATCACCCCACTCAGAATTAAGCAGTGCAGCTGGATAAGAAAATGGGCCATGGAAGCCCACATGAGGAGGATCCAGCACGAGGCACGTGAGCAAGGTTTCGTAGAAGTCATGAGCAACTGCAGACTCACCATCTGCAGCATCCTCATCTGCCTCTGCTTCGGCGCCAAGATCGAGGAAAACAGAATCAAGCGCATAGAAAGCATCTTGAAGGACGTCATGCTCATCTCGCTTCCGAAGCTTCCAGACTTTTTGCCCGTCTTCACGCCGTTGTTCCGGCGCCAGGTGAAGGAAGCGAGGGAGTTGAGAAAGAGGCAGGTGGAGCTGTTGGCGCCGTTGATAAGGAGTAGAAAGGCTTACGTGGAGGGAAGTTTGGCGGGAAATGACATGGCGAGTCCAGTCGGTGCTGCTTACGTGGACTCGCTGTTCGGGTTGGAGGTGCCTGAACGAGGACGGTTGGGGGAGGAGGAGCTCGTGACGCTGGTGTCGGAGATTATCAGCGCAGGGACGGACACGAGCGCCACCGCGCTGGAGTGGGCGCTGCTTCATTTGGTGATGGACCAAGAGGTTCAGGAGAGGTTGTATAAAGAGATTGTGGAGTGTGTGGGGAAGGACGGGGTGGTTACGGAGAGTCACGTGGAGAAGATGCCTTACCTGAGCGCCGTGGTGAAGGAGACTTTCCGGCGTCACCCGCCGAGCCATTTCGTGCTGTCCCACGCGGCCACTGAGGATACGAAGCTGGGAGGGTATACCGTCCCGAAGAACGCGAGTGTGGAATTTTACACGGCGTGGTTGACGGAGGATCCGAACATGTGGGAAGATCCTGATGAGTTCCGACCGGAGAGGTTTTTGAGCGGGGACGGGGTTGACGTGGATGTGACGGGAACGAAAGGTGTGAAGATGATGCCCTTCGGTATTGGGAGGAGGATTTGTCCAGCATGGACGTTAGGCATTCTGCATATAAACTTGTTATTGGCGAAGATGGTGCAGGCTTTCCACTGGTTGCCCAATCCCAACGCTCCACCCGACCCGACCGAGACCTTCGCTTTCACTGTCGTCATGAAGAACCCTCTCAAGGCGGTTATCGTCCCTCGGTCCATTTAATTTAAATATCAGTATGTACACTTCATTTTCATTACTCATTGGTCGTTACAGTGCTCCTTCACTGAAAAAGGGCAAGGAATATATTAACATAATATATGTAGCTTAGTGAAGTGTGAAAAATAATATTTTTAAGCAGAGGGGATTCATTTTTACAGGGTGTTTGGAAGCTAGGTCTGCCATAGTCTGACACTGCAGTTCCCATGTTAATTATGATATAGGACACTATTTTATTGTGAAGGAGCCGTTCCCATGTGCGTCCCTACTTAAGGTGATATCTATATAAAATAGTATCGAATTTGTATGTTTGCATTCCATGTGATTCTTCAAAATCTGAAACACGCCTTCATTTTCTTATTGAGGCTATGTGTCACATAACATATACATTTGTCTAGGTAGCTTCTGCCTCTTCACATGAAACTTGTAAAAATAAAACAACAGGATTTAGATATTTATGATTTGTTTATCCTTTATAGACATAATCAACGACAGAATATTGTCACATTATTTTATGTAATTCACCCTCTACCTAATCATCCCTTTTATTCGTATATATTTTTGACATAATTTAATTTTAGAAAGAGTATTTCTTTTTTCTCTTTATGAGAATGCATTTAAGTAGAACTAGCCATGCTTGTTCGTGGGCGGAAATGGCGCTCACAAATTTTAATCTTACTAATGATTATTAATATATTACTTTTAATTAAAAATATAAGTACATTTTATTTAGTCTTGTTCCGATACATCACTTAGAAGGCAAGTTCAATGATAGATGTTTTTTTTTTAAGAACATAATCTTCACTGATGATAATTCCAAAGGGATAATACCTGTAACGTGAAAATCAAATTATACACTCGATTTTTAGACCAAACTTGTTAACAAACTAAAGTTGTTATTTAATGAAGGGATGTAGAAGTTTGGATTCCCATTCTTTAAACGGAATATATTAAGATGATAAGGTTGTTATTTAACTCTTAGAGTGTGTGTGTGTTAATGAAGGGATGTTGGATTAGGTATTAACAAAGATGAGTGTTGAATCATTGAATGAATAGGAGATCTGGAGAATAAATAGTATCAGCCTTAAAGAGTGAAGGGTACGTGATAACAAAACAAACACAATATAGAAGATTGAATTGGTGGTTGGATGGCATCAGCCGAAATTAATACTCCTCGGTAACGGAAGCGAATGGACGAGTTTATAGAACTTCTGCTACACACTGTATATATATATATATATATATATAAAACAATTTATATATCTTTTAGAAAATATTAAATCTTAATTATATAATTTTTTAAATTTTTATTTATTGATTAATATATTTTATTATATAAATTAAAAAACTATTATATTTATATATTAAATTATTTAATTAATAAATTATTATTTTTATATAAATATTTTTTTTTAATATATAAATATTTTTTTGACTGAATGAATGAATGTGTTCATTTTATTTCTCATTCACAATTCTTAAATGAATGAATGACAATCAAATGTGTTCATTTTATTGACTAAATTAAATAAATAAAAATAGACATTATCTATCATAAACTTTATGGATAATTATGTTAAATTCTTAATAATTTTCATCCACCCATACCTTAACGGTAATTATTAGCAAGTATATTAACGAAAATTGATTGTATGTAATTGTTAACAACAACAATGTTCTGTCTTTCCGTAACTATTAATAAAGTTGGACAATGAATGTGTTTCGTGGAGGAATAAAGAAAGTGACTTTGGGTTGAATATGGACAGACGTGTATAGGTCAGATGGGCCTGGTGGATATTAAAGAGGTTATAACAAGGGCTCTTCGTACCTTCGTTCCCATAATTTCTCCTTTCATCTTCATATTTCAAATCAAACATCTAAAATATTTTTTTTATAATTTTATTTTCTATCTTAATTTCTTTTTTATAATTTTTTTTATATTAATTTTTTCTTCTATTTATGTACAATTTATGTATTTTATTATTTGATTTTTTTATGTTATCACCTTTATTAAAGATATTTTTTAATAATTAAAGATAAATAATCATTAATATTATATATAAATTATATTTTTATAGATTCAAATTGTATAAATAGATCAAAGTTGAAATAATATTATGGAAATGAAATTATAAATGAAATTGAATTCTAGAATATCCAATCCGAATGCATTTTTGGAATGCACTTTATGAAATATATTTCTAAAAAATTAATTTTGGAAATATATTCAATAAAGCATATTCTGAAACATATTTTTCAAAAAAAATTTAATTTGCCAAATAATTTGTTACATGAATGCTATACATATAAAAATTTGATAAAAAATAAAAAAAAGTTGACATTCTTATTTGTTTCTTGTAATTTTTAGAATAATAAAAGAGTAAAGAATAAAAATATTATAGTAAAGCTTAAAAATCAGTCATTAAACAAAATCAGAAAGAAACACTAATGAAAAATGAAAATATAAACACTAATAACAAATGAAAATAAGTATAAAAGTAAAATGGGTTTAATTTAATTACGAAACCTGTTAAAACCACATTTTTAATCCAGGAAAAGTATATTTTATTTTTTAAGATATACTACAAAGTGAGAAAATTTTTTAACATCACAATTTTATTTTTTTCTGAAACTTTTAAGTACTAGGTGACAACCACATTGTAATATTGAGGTTAATATTATATTAATGATTAATAAGGAAGTGAGGATAACAGTTGAAAATTTAAGTATGTTTAAAGTTATATCGAATAAAAATAAAAAAATTTAGTAATTTATAAATAAGAAATATATGTTTAAAAATTTGGAGTTGAATATCTTATAATTTTTTATATAATTAATTCGTGTCCATTTATGAAAATTTCATTATTGTTAATCCCTAAAAATATCTAATAAATATATATGATATGCTAGTTCAAAAAAATATTATTACGAAAGCATTTCAATTCAAAATCACTGTAATTAGAAAATAGCTTTTTAAATCATTTTCAAACGTACCCTTAAGATATAGAAATACAAATATGTAATTTAAGTAATTTTCAACAATAAAAAAGAATGAAATATTTTGTTTAATGTTACGGTGAAATTGTTATATTTAAAAGCAACCAACATTAAAATACTAAAAAAAATTAAATACAATAATAAAAGTAAAATATTCTAAATTATTATTTGACTTCGATGATTAATATTTAAATTTCACATTTTTCACAATTAGCATGAGTAAAAGGTACTAAATTACAACTCTAAAATAGTTATCAATATGTGATAAATATTGCATGAAGATTTTGTTATACCTATTAGAAATCTCATTAACTTATAATACGTAATTGATTTATAAATAATAAAACTAAGTTAAACATTTTTAAATAATATTAAAGTTAGATGTGTGTAAAATAAGTTAACTCAATTCATATAGATTATGTTAAAAATTAATTAAATTAATTTGACTCATTTTTTTAATGATCAAAAAATTTTACAATCCAATTGGAATAAGTGGATTGATAGACTTAAATATATATATATATAATTTTTAATTATTTTTTATCTTTTTAAATTATTAAATAAATGAATTGACTTATTTATATAAATAGATTAAGTAGTTGATTCATTAATGTTATTTTATTTTTATTTTTTTTTAATTTACACTAACACATGAATTGAAAAATTTAGAATATTAAACATTAAAAAAAACAAATCAACTTTTCGTTAACCTAGTTTAAACCAATTTAACGATACACAAGTTAAGTAAGTTGAATTTATTTTAATTTACAATTAATTTTTTTTTTAACCCAACGGGTTCAAATTCATGTTAAGCCGGATTAACAGTTGAGATTGATATTGACATCTCTAATTAAATTTTATAAATTTTATTATTTTCAACTTGTAAATATCATCTTAAAAATTGATTTTTTTAAATTTATTCAAATACCTATTTATTTTTAATATTATAATTTTTCGTAATCTTATAAAATTAATAATAATAATATTTTCTTACTCTCTTTTTTTCTTAAATTTATATTTTAAATTTAATATAAAAATGTTAATATTAATATTTTTGAATTATAGAAAATGCTATTTAATAAAAATATTTTAATTATTAACTATTGAAAATTTAAAAACTGTTTATTTTTCACAAATTTTAATTCTTAAAAATATTTTTACCCTATAGTATAAATTAAACTGTACTATTTAAACTTATATGATATATTTATTGTACTATTCAAACTGAATTTTATGGAATTTAATAAATTTGTATTAATTTATATAAATTAAAGAAATATCAATTCTTGTTTTGAACTAATAAATATTAATGTCCATAAGATATGAAGGTATGAGATTACTTATACCTCTTTAATCAAATTTTTAATTGGATTGAAGAGAAGAATTTCTTAAGTGGAGGAAAGTAAAAATAAATTATTTTTAAGAAGGAAACTTACTTAATATTAGTAAAAAGTAAAAAATAAATATTTTTTTTATCATTTTCTTTTAAGTTATTATTATTTTATTATTGATAGGATTTGAGTTATTATTTATTTTAAAATTTTAATATGTTATGATTTTATTATTATTATTTTATTTTTAAAAGATATTTTAATAAAATTAAAACAATTATATATAAATTATTTTTCACATTAGATTCATGAAGATATATGAATGATTAAAGGATACGGAGATATATGAATGATTAAAGGATATGGAGATATTAGATTGATGAAGATATATGAATGATTAAAGGATATGAAGATACAGAAATGATAAAAGGATATGGAAGAAAATAAAGTAATTGTATTTTAAATATCTTTGGACAAGTAATTTTTTTACTTAGTTAGTTATTTATTTATTTTAATAAATAATTTATATATATTTATTAATTTTATATTTTTTTTAAGTTTAAACACCTTGTCGAAAATTTTGGTTTGAGAGATGAAATCGATGATTTTTTATTTTATTGAAAAAGAAAGTGAGAGAGGAACGGAGACTCAATTGGATAGATGGTCCAAACAAGATATACCGTGATAACAGGAGATAGAGTTGAATTGACTTTTGCTTGTGCTGCAGGCTGAGGGAGCATTCCGAACAAAGTTGGGACCAAAATACACGCCCAAGAGTCTCCTGACCCAAGTAGGAGAAATGGAGTGGTGCGTGTCAATGCCAAAGATAGAACTCCATGCTCACCTCAATGGATCCATCAGAGACTTCACACTTCTGCAAGTTCTTTCCTTTTATTTTCATTTACTCATCATACCTTTTCCCACTCTCCAACATTCTGAAATTTTGCATTTTTCTTGCACAGAGACCTCGCTAGAGCTTTGGGTGACAAGGGTGTCATAGATTTCTCCCAGGTCGAGCATGTGATCCTTAAAAGTATGTCCCTTTTTTCTCGTTCATCCTTGTTGTGCTTGATGTTAAAGTTTGGATTTCATTTTGACGTTTGAATTGTGATTTTTTGCGTCGCTCATATTGTTGGCAAAAAAGGGTAGGAAATTCATGACAATATAAAAAAAGATGAAAAAGAATATGACAATGAAAAACGCAAAAGGGGTAAAACCTGAAATTCAAAATTTTGAATTTATGGAACTGTTCCTGGATTTTATTTTATTTTATTTTTAATCTGCTCTCAAGCAGGCTTTATCCATATATACCCCATATTTGTGTTTTGAAGCTTGAATTTGATTAAAGCTATATATGTACAGATGACCGTTCATTAAGTGAGGTATTCAAGTTGTTTGACTTAATTCACATTGTTACGACTGATCACTCAAGCATCACCAGAATTACCAAAGAAGTATGTTATTGTTCTTGCCGACCTACCGTCTGTATTGTATTATTCCTGTTTTATTGTTTTTACATTTATGCAAGCAACTTGTAAAAGCAGGTTGTTGAGGATTTTGCATCTGAGAATGTTGTATATCTGGAGCTGAGAACCACACCAAAGGTAATATGTGGGCTCAGTTGGGTATTTTGTGCGTTCTTGTTTCAATCGACTGGATGAGGAAAGTGTTTTCTTAATTATTGTAGAAAAATGATTCCCTAGGAATGAGCAAACGCTCTTATGTGGAAGCTGTACTTGAGGGTCTAAGAGCTGTCAGTTCAGTAGATGTGGCTTTCATTCCTTACAGCGAGGAACCTATAAATCTTTCAAGTCCACTCTCGGATGAAAGTGATAAATGTAATGGAAACACTAGAAAAAAGATCTTTGTTAGGCTTCTCTTGAGCATTGATCGTAGGGAGACAACGGAAGCGGCAATGGAAACTGTAAGCTACTATGTAAAAGTATTTGTGCAAAGTTAAGTCTATTTGTTACTGACTTGGAGCACTTTACTTCTCTGCTGTAGGTCATGCTTGCACTGGAAATGAGGCATTTTGGGGTTGTTGGAATTGACCTCTCTGGGAATCCAGCTGTTGGTGAATGGTATATCAGATTGATCTTGGACTGTAGTAATTTATTCTAAAAAATTGATGCTAGAGACCAATTTTATCTTTTGTAGGATTACATATCTGCCAGCATTGAAATTTGCTCGAGATCAAGGTCTTTATGTAACTCTTCATTGTGGAGAGGTGGTTAATCTTTTATTTGTCCCTTTTGTCCCTGTGTTTTTCTGGCAGGTTTCTTTTTTCTGATCTTGTTAGTTCAGGTATCAAATTCAAAGGAGATACACAATATGCTTGACTTTCTTCCGGAGAGGATTGGGCATGCTTGTTTCTTCGAGGAGGAACATTGGAGAAGGCTGAAGTCGTGTAACATTCCGGTTAGACCTTTACTTTAGTTATACTGATGATAAAGCAACAATAATGGTAGTGTGTCATGATTTTTGTGGTTACAAGCACATGTTCTGTGTTGGTATTCAATCAATTAAAAGGTTACACTAGTTCAAAAAAATTCTGTCAAATTTAATGTTTGATTTGACCTGGAATAAGTGGAGGAACCCACAATTTCTTGCTTTCACTGTTTATCCCTTCTAGGCTTCTGCTTGTCGTTAATCTTGAATTCTTAATATTATATATCTCTTCCAATTTATAAACAGATGACTCATATATCATGTTTATCATCTTCATTTTCAGGTTGAAATTTGTTTGACATCAAATATTAGAACATTGTCTGTTCCAACAATAGATGCACATCATTTTGGTAGGATCTTTTGTTTATTATTGAAATTGATGATGATAAATAAAAGAAACTTAATGTTTGTCCAACTTTGCATGAGACTTTATAGGCTTTAACGTAACTTTGTATTTTGATTACTATTGGTTTTTGGTGGAAGGCAATTTATTTATTATTTATTTATTTTTGGTTAATAAAGGAGAAAATTTTGGGGTAGCTACAAGTTTTGATTTTGCGAAAGAGAAGCCAATCCCCTCTTCTTCAAAGTCATTCCATGGTATATTAGGGCATTGATCAGGGAAACAGTTTATGCAGCCTCTCCTAACATCATACTTTTGTTCATGCAGTTGATTTATACAATGCAAAACATCCTTTAGTCCTGTGTACCGATGACTCAGGCGTATTTTCTACCAGTCTCTCCAACGAATACAACATTGCTGCTTCTACATTTGGTAGGTTTCACTTTTCTGTTGCAGACAGTAGAATTCAAACTAATGGCTAAACTTTGCTGACTGCTTGTTGGTTGGCTAATATCTAGGCCTTGGACAGAAGGAAATGTTTGAGCTATCAAAGAACGCTATCAAGTTTATATTTGCAGATAATGTAGTAAAGGAGGATTTAAGAAAAACTTTTGATTCGGCAGCAAAGAATTTGGATTGTAGGTAGAGTTTCACTATGGTGGTATGTATTTGGATCGTTTTGACTCTCAAGTTTTAGTGGTTATTCCAATGGACACAACATATGGTTGTTCATGTTCTATTAGAGAATAAGTTAACAGGGTTGGCTGGGATTGGATTGGTCCCTGATAAAGACAGACATGGCACGTGATTCTTTCCAGAAGGTCATTATTTGAAATTGGATATGGTCAAGTTGTTAGGTATATATGTTGATCAAGTGACTCTCCACCGAGCCAATTTTATATTTGACCACTTGGAATGGGCGGCTATGAACTAGTCCACTATGCCATACAATTGAACAGAACACTTTTTTTTGGAGGCTTCAATCCAACCATCCCAATTAAGTAGGTGAAACAGCTTAGGCGGTAATGCACCGTTTATGCTAAGTTGATAGACATATATGAGAGGGGTAACATAAATTGATAACAATCCTTTGTTTAATGATTTTTCACCCTTCACCTCAGTTGACCGATAACCCTTTCAAATCACGGCTTCATTTAGACTTATTCACATTGATGATTGGGTTTGATTTTGATACACATGAATGGACTTGGCATCATATGCGATCTTAAACTTGCTAAATTACATAACAATGTATGGATGATATAATACACATTGCATTATTATTTGGTTAATGTATTAAGTATTACGCTAAATGATCATCAGACTTGGACCTAGTATATTCTTAACAGGATTCTAACAATAATAATAATTTATTTTTTTATTTGAATTTTATTTTTAAACTTGGTAGTAAAAATCAGATAGTAATAGTGTTTTAGGCGTAAACAACTAATTATGTAACAATTGATACCAAACAAAGTTTGACAGGTAGGTAGAGTTGTGATTATTTCCTCATCAAACTGCTAATATTTTCCTTTAATTCTTCATTAGCGGAAGAATACATATGCATGGTCAAAGTCATGACTTGTCGTGTTGAACTTGTTTGAAAGAACAACTGCTTGCAGTTTCGTATTTTTAATTTTTTATTTTATTCGTGTCATTTTTAGTTGCTCGGTAAAAAAACTTCGTATAAAATGAATAATTCGATTTGAATTTTTTTAATGCATTTAATACTGCAAATATTCATCAAGTAATATGCAATATATTATTCTAGAAAGGTAAATAATAAAATATGGGAAAAATATTTTTTTACACTCTTTTTAGTAAATATTCATTCACCCATTTCCTTTAATAATATAATATAATATTAATTTTAAATTATTTTTATTTTTTATAATTCTTTGCATAATTATTACATTTTTTTACATATCCCATCAAATTCAGCGTCAAGTTCAACGAAATAAAATTTGTTTTAAATCACTACTCCAGTGCAAAACAATGCTTTTGTATGTATTTTCATCTTCATTTCCCCATCCTGCGTCCCATGACACTTCATTTCTACACCCTGCGTCCCATGACACTGAAATATATTAAAACCAGTTTGTTACCTGTAGCTGCCATGGTTTCTTGGTTTAAATATTCTAAAAGATACAAACCAAACCCAGATTAAAATCAAATAGCCTCATAGTTTTCATTCAATAATTTAATATTTTTAAAAATAGTATATTTTCAGAACTTGACATTTATGAATGTTCTTTGAAACTGCAACATTAATTAATTAGCATTTATGTGTAGAAACCAGTGCTTTCTTTCTTCCTCTTTTCTTTTCAAAAAAAGAAATAAGGAATGGAAGAAAGAAAAAATGCTGAATTTGATGGGATATGTATATATGAGGGTTGACGGGTAACACATTTTGGGTGCTTCCTCTGAGTTTGTGTGCGCCCAAAACTGATTACATATAATTTACATGCTTATTTGTTTTCCGAGATTTATTGAACCATTGATCATCAGCATTCAACATTCAACCGCACGATCCGATTGGATCGGAATGCGGCACCGTAACGTAGAGGTCAATTTTCAACAATTCAACGTCCGTACGTAACTGAATCGTGAATTCTCGATCGCAAATCGACAATGTCTTGGGGATTGGGTTGGAAGAGACCTTCCGAGATCTTCCACCTCACTCTGAGCTATGGCACCGACGATCCACCGGAGAATCTCACCCGCAACTCAAACTCCTCCCGTTCCTCCTCCTCCTCCACTTCTTCGTTGTCTTCGTCAGCTTCAACTTCGTCAATCATCTCGCAGGATCAGGACCTCGGGTTTCGCATTGAATTGGATTGGTCGGCGTCGGAGGACGAGGATCAGGTGGCGCTGAAGCTTCAATCGCAGCTGATGGTGGCGCTTCCGATGCCGCAGGACACGGTGGTGATTGAACTTACGCCTCAGGACGATGACGAGACCATGGTGAATTTGGAAATGAAGGTTATTAAGCGACGGGAGCCTCTCAGAGCAGTCACAATGGCCAAGGCTGTTGCCTCCGGTCAGCAGAGCGACGGCACTGGCGTTCTGATACGCTTGTTGCGCTCCGATTTGCCTTCCTCGCCGCCGCCGCCAAACGTCGGAGACGCCGCCGTTTCCGATTCTGGCCACCATTGGACCAGTCTCACGGTGCTCAGTCTCTGCGGCTGTGGCTTGTCGGTGAGTGTTGCTTATTCTTTGGTGGAACTCTCACACTTGAGGTTTATAACTGCTGCGAAGTGAATTTTGTGAATCTGTTGGTGTGTATAGTTTCTGAAATTGGAAGAGTTAGTCAGTGATTTCATTTGATCTCTGCTATATTCCACGTTAACAAACGGTAACATATGAAAGATACAGACTATGTTTGGATAGAAGTTAGGAACATGCATCCGGAAAAATTCTAATTGGCTGTCCCGAATTCCTACAAGAATTCTAATTCCTGTCCCGAATTTCTACAAGAATGAAGTAGGAAGAATTTGTTGCTTTGGAAATAAAAGTACTTCTAAACTCTCCGAGTGACACATACCTTTGTATTGTATAATTATGTTTTCTTGCCTTGCTTTTTTCCTCCCTGGTGGGATCGTGGATGTTTTAAACACGTCATGACTATGTACAGGTATTTCCAGTAGAACTTACACAATTGCCACACCTTGAGAAACTCTATCTTGATAACAACAGGCTAAGTGTTTTACCGCCTGAGCTTGGTGTGCTAAGAAGCTTAAAAGTGCTCAGGGTTGACAACAACATGCTTTTCTCGGTTCCTGGTGAGCTTTCATTGTTTGACTACTACCATAAAGGATAGTGGTAAACTAGTTGTGTTCAAGTGTGCTTGGCAGTGGTGGAAATATTTGTATATTTTCTAATAAGTTTACTGAGTAAACATTTGCAGACAGATCTATTTGAAAGTAATGAGTAATGTTAGATTACATGCCGCTTACAACTTAACACAAACTTAGGATGCATGGTTGCATTTTGGGTATGGGAAGTCCTAGCCCCAGTTACTGCACCGATATATTTGATTAACTTGTGGAGTTGGTAGCACACCCAATATTCAACCCTGCAGTATTTACAGTAAAATAATCCTTGTATCTGATTTTTGTTTCTTTGAGCAGCGGAACTGAGACAGTGCATGCAGTTGGTTGAGTTGTCATTGGAACATAACAAGCTTGTTAGGCCACTTCTTGACTTCAGGTTTTTGGTTTAGACAATTTTGTATAAACTTGTGTAGACTTCACATATTCCTCTGGTCTTAATGTTACCACGCGTGGCAGGGCTATGGCTGAATTACGGGTTCTTAGACTATTTGGAAATCCTCTTGAGTTTCTTCCCGAAATTTTGCCCCTCCACAAACTTCGCCACCTTTCTCTTGCAAATATTAGGATTGTGGCAGATGAAAATTTGAGATCGGTGAATGTGCAATTAGAGGTAGCACTTTGCAAACTAGCTAGACCACTTTTCTGACATTATCCTTTTTAAACATATCACATTTCAATTAATCATGCTTTTTCTTGTCATTGCAGATGGAAAACAGTTCTTATTTTGGTGCATCTAGGCATAGACTCAGTGCCTTCTTCTCTCTTATATTCCGCTTTTCTTCTTGTCATCATCCTTTACTAGCATCTGCACTAGGAAAGATAATGCAAGACGAAGGAAATAGAGCGTTTATAGGTAAAGACGAGAACGCAGTTCGACAACTTATAAGCATGATAAGTAGTGACAACAGTCATGTGGTATGTTTTAATGGGTCTAGATATCACAATTTTTAACATCTTATTCTGCTGCCATTTGGTGATTGTCCTTGATATTTTACAGGTTGAACAAGCATGCTCTGCTCTTTCATCCCTTGCCTCTGGTGACTCCGTAGCATTGCATCTGATGAAAGCGGACATCATGCAACCAATTGGAACAGTTCTGAAATCTGCAGGTCGGGAAGAGCTAATATCTGTATTGCAAGTTGTGGTCAAGTTGGCTTTCACTTCTGATTGTGTGGCAGAGAAGATGTTGACCAAGGATATTTTAAAATCATTGAAAATCTTATGTGCCCATAATGATCCAGAGGCAAGTTAGTTTCTTTTCATAGACAATGATTTAATTGATTCCCTATATTGCACAGTCCTTTAAGTTTTAGCTTTCTCCTTCTATATAGGTACAAAGGCTTGCTCTGTTAGGTGTTGGAAATTTGGCCTTTTGTCTGGAAAATCGTCGCATACTGGTTACTTCTGAAAGCTTACGAGAACTTCTCTTGCGCCTGACTGTTGCAACTGAGCCACGTGTTTGTAAAGCTGCTGCTCGTGCTTTGGCAATTCTTGGTTTGTCTTTGGACATGAAATTCATTTATGTTTTTTAGGATGTTTTATCCTGAGTACTTAATAGAGTTCTTCATTTTTTGCTTTTTTAGGAGAAAATGAAAACCTGAGACGAGCAATAAAAGGGAGACAAGTGGCAAAGCAGGGACTACGCATACTCTCAATGGACGGAGGTGGAATGAAAGGTCTAGCAACTGTACAAATGCTAAAGGAAATTGAAAAAGGATCTGGAAAACGAATACACGAGTTGTTTGATTTAATATGTGGCACATCAACGGGAGGAATGCTAGCTGTTGCGCTTGGGATTAAGCAAATGACTTTGGAAGAATGTGAAGATATATACAAAAATCTTGGTAAGGATGTTGCTTAAGAATGGCATATGTCATTTATTTCTTTTTATCAATCTGTTTATTTGCTCTTCAATTCTAGATAAACTGTGATTCAAAACATTTGGCATCAGGGAAGCTTGTTTTTGCTGACCCTG